ACTGCCTGTGTCGCAGTGACTGCAGTCACACCCGAATTTTCTAGGCATGACCTGGACATGAACCAGCCACCACGGGTATTAGTCATTTCCCCACCATTTTAGGTGACATCCCCGTGCCATGCTAAATCTCAAGTCATCAACTTGCGATCCGTCACACTTAGCTCAAGCAAATGAGTAATGTTCAGAGACTCTCATTACTTTCTCAGGGGACATGTAGAAGCATTCCTTTTTAAAGGATAATGCATCCAATTCAAAGACGTCGATCAATTTTTATAATTATGGTAGTCTTCTTGAAACAAACCGATGGTAAAAAAAATTCTTATTTAATACGGGGTGGTTATATTAAAACATTTTTTTCGTAAACACGCTATTTAGCCCCCGTTTGGCCTCCATTAGCTAAATTACTTTTTTTTTTCAAACTTATTTTCAACAACATTTTATGGGACCCATAACTTCTATCAATTTTTCAATTATACTTTCATAATTTTTTATCAAAATCTACTTAAAAAAATTGATTTTTATTTAAATCAATCAGGGACTTAATTACATTAATGGTCTTTAACCTTTATTCATCGTCCAATTTATATCTTACTTTTTTTTCATCGTATTCTTATTTTTAACCTATTATTAACTAACAGATAGTCAAGAGACGAGTATTTAGTCATAATTTTGTATTTGTTTTTACTTATTTAAAAATAGAACGGACAAATAAGTCTTTACTATGTGTGTTCGGTAGAGATTAAAATTGGAAAACTAGCCGTTATGTTGATTTTTATTAGACGAGTGAAATCCAATAACAGTTATATTTTCAATTTTAATTGGATTTTAATCTTTATCAAACAAGCCTTATATCTTAAGGAAAGATTTGAACGTAAACAATCGTCTATGTGCATTTCATGATCAAATACACTGAGTACACTACGACATTATGTCATTCTTTAACCACGGCTAAAGCGCATTTTAAAATTACCGCTTTTGTTTTCACAAAGAAAGCATAAAATGGATCGCATTGTCAAAACTTTAGGGGGATTTTGCAAAATGACCTATGAATAGTAGTTTTCTAAGATTTTTGTTAAAAGGTCAATTTTACCCTTAATGAAATGGGGCATTTATTTGAAAAACAAGTCCTTAAACTTTTTATTCTTATTTTTGATACTTGTAATGAGTTCTTCAAGG